ACTCTCCTGCTATTTAATATTAAAAAAACCCTCGCTGAGCCACTCAAAGTAAACAATAGCAGTATAAATGAATTTAAACGAGTGTACAAGACCTAGAATGCAATGACTAATAAAATTCCAGTGTCTGGCAACGACAGAGCAAGCACTTCTCTGAGAACACTTTAGGTCCTGAATCTAATTTTAAATATCCCAACTCTGGGGCTTGCAACAAATGAGAAGATTATGCCACAATATAATAGATTTCACTATGAAGTTCTTTTGACATTATCTCAATGTTCCCTTTCTCAGTTTCACCCCATGAACCCCGGTTCTTATACCTTTGTGTACCACAGTAAATTATTACCCCCTTGGTGTTTACATCTTTGTCATCTGTTATCATGTCCCTCTGTTGTGTCACTGCTTCGCCAACTTGTACATATTTAACTCTTTTAATCTTTCCTTATACATCTCAGTCATGGTTAACCCCCTCTCAAACAATTCATCCCACTTTGTGCCAATGCTCCTGAAATACCCTTTCTCTTTAGTGGGATGCATTGTGAAAGCAATCTACCTTAAAATTGTGTATTACTGCCTATGACCATACCCAGTTGCCTTCTGAGCAAAATATATTAGCAATAGCAAGTTCATGGAATCTCTGGTTCTTAAATTTCCAGTTTATAGAAACTCTACTTGAGATAGGGTTTTTCTTGTTTTGTTTTGTTGATGTAGAGGGCACAGAAAGGGACCACTTGATGCTATGAATGTTCTGGTTATGGTAGAAAAGATTGATAAACCAGAAAGCTTGCACAGTGTTTCCTAAAGGTGGTCAGATTTTAGAATCATCTAAATTCCTCCTCTGGAAGTTCATTCTCCATCCACAGTCTCTCAACTCTCTCTTATCTTGTTGAACCCTACCCTTGGCTGAAAACTTGAAATGACCAGAGTGAATGAAAAGTGGCAGAAAAAGATCATTTTCGTCTATAAACAGGCATGTAAAATTACTGTTGAAAAACCCCCCTGGGATGTAGTCACCACATATCTAAACAGTTGTCTCAACTAAAAACTGATGTTTACGGGTTTTCTAGGCTTCTAGTGGCGCTACAAAATGGTTTTACTAAAAGACAGAATTTTTTGAGGACAAGAGGAAGTGTATATATAGATATGAACCACAAACTATTCTTTGGATGGGTTAATTTTGACAGGATAAAGTTGCCAACGTTTTTGGACAGGCTTTTCTGGGGAGCACCTAGTAACTTGTTTACACCTGGCAGAGAGCATTAGCCATCATCACATTTCTGATCCTGAAAGATTTTTTTCTTACCATCCAAAGAAGGAATCAGAAGCCATTTCATGGCTGTGTCCTGAGCGACTCCTGAGATGTGAAGCTAGGGTCCATTTTTTCCACCTCCTCAACATGTCAGTTTCCTCTTTCACCTTATTTCTGCTACATCTCTTCTTTCTTTTTGCCTTCTATCTAATAAGATTACAATTCAGCAAGCTATGACAGATTTAATTTTGTAACACTTTTGCTGTGACCAGTTTGGAAAGCAATAAGCGATAACAAGCAGCCTAATCTGCAATGAAAAATGTACCTCCCATAAACCAGTGAGGAAAATAAAAGCAATTTAGCCAAAAATTTGCCACAGGAGAAAAGCCAAAATGCAGAAATGGCCAATTGGGTCACAAGCTGTAGCCTATGATCTTCTAACAACTGAACAACAAACACCAGAGACAAAAAAGCTGCATTTTCTTATGTTTTCCTATTCTTTCACAATTATTGTGTCAGTCTGTTTTGTCCCAAGAACAAAATGGATTGAATTTTTACAAACAAAAACCTGAGAGCTACTACCTAAAATTTATTCTCTTCTTCTAAGCAAGAGCATTTGAGACCATCCAAGAATGTCAGGCGAGGAGTTTACTTTTAAGAGATTCTATAGAGAGAACATGGGAATTGTTAAAATGAAGACTTAATTTTGAATTTTAAATGTTTTTAGTAGGTTCTGTTTATTTTCTTCTCTTCTTTTGGGTTCATTTAATGAATGTTGAAAATTTATTTTTTGTTTGGTGAACAATCAAAACCAAGACCAAAGCAACCAAACCCAAATTACTGATAAAGTTTGCAAATGGCACAAAAATTTTAATGTTACCTGGGGTTCTTTCAACCCAAAGCTCTTGGTAACTTTTACTCTGTGCAAGGTGGTGTCAGGAAATAAATCAGGGGAGACACGGCTGGCCAACCGATAGATGGCTGGCACAAACAGGACAACACAAGAGTGGTTTCACTTAAAGCTAAACTTTACTTAGTCTCAAGCACTTACACACCCCCAACCCTCGATAATTACAGAAGCTGAGCGTGGCTCTCGAGTGGCACAGCAGCAGCCTGTCTGCTGGTAGGGAACACAAGATGCATCCAGAGGGAGTCCAGTCCCGAAGAGTCCCACTACTTCAAACTTTTCCCCCTTATTTAGTAATAGAATGCCATGTCCCTTAAAGAAAACTTGTTAAGCAAGCCATTTCAATGGTCAACCAGGTTTTCTTCTGATTATTGATTAACTAGGTGTGTTTTTTTCCAGAGTTTGTAGCCTTCAGACCCTGTTAGACACATTCCTGAGGGCACATCCTGCTCTTCTAAAATGCATGTATCAGGAACTTCAACACAATTCTTATCAGGAAGGATGTGGGGTCAAGCTGCCCTTTCTGTGGCACCCAAAACCCCCTCCTCTCCTTCCTTGGATAAGCTAAGCCTGCTGACTTGGCTGCTTTTCGCCATAAGCAATAGTGGGTTCAGGCACTTTATTGGTTTGCTGACATCTCCCCATACAGTAGTAGTAAATAATGAAGAGGAAAGGTCACTGATTCAGAGCAATCTAGATTGCTTGGTAAACTGGGCACAAGCAAACAATACATCTTTTAATACAGCTAAATGTAAACGTATACATTTGAGAACAAAGAATGGAGGTCATACTTACAGGATGGGGAACTCTATGCTGGGAAGCATAAGAACAAGAGAACAGCCATACTGGGTCAGACCAAAGGTCCATCTAGCCCAGTATCCTGTTTTCCAACAGTGGCCAATGCCAGGTGCCACAGAGGGAGTGAACAGAATAAGGAATCATCAAGCGATCCATCCATTATCGCCCATTCCTAGCTTCTCTCAAACAGAGGCTAGGGACACCATCCCTGTCCATCCTGGCTAATCTTCCATGTGTAGTGACTCTGAAAAAGATTTTGGGGTCATGGTGGATAATAAGCTGAACATCAGTTCCCAGCATGACACTGTGACCAAGAGCTAACGTGATCCTGGGATGATGAAACAAGGGAATCTCAAGTAGAAGTAGGGAATCTCCATCACTTGGGATTTTTAAGAGCAGGTTGGACAAACACCTGTCAGGGATGGTCTAGATAATACTTAGTCTGGCCTTGAGTGCAGGGGACTAGACTAGATGACCTCTCAAGGTCCCTTCCAGTTCTATGATTCTAATAGATAGAATATCAGGGTTGGAAGGGACCTCAGGAGGTCATCTAGTCCAACCCCCTGCTCAAAGCAGGACCAATCCCCAGACAGATTTTTTCCCTAGATCCCTAAATGGCCCCCTCAAGGACTGAACTCACAACCCTGGGTTTAGCAGGCCAATGCTCAAACCACTGAGCTATCCCTCCCCCTCCCTAAGTTATTTTGCAGCTCTATTTGGTACAGGTGCGACCGCTGCTGGAATACTGTGTCCAGTTCTGAAGTCCACAATTCAAGAAAGATGTTGATAAACTTCAACGGGTTCAGAGAAGAGCTATGAGAATGATTAAAGGATTAGAAAACATGCCACAGAGTGATAGATTGAGCTTCTTGAGTCTATTTAGCTTAACAAAGAGAAGGTTAAGGGGTGACTTGATTACAGTCTAAAACTACCTACATAGGGAACAAATATTTAATTATGAGCTTAGCAAAAGAAGATATAGCATGATCCAATAGCTTGAAGCTAGACAAATTCAGACTGGAAATAAGCCACAAATTTTTAATGATAAGAATAATAAAAACACGTGGATTCTCCCTCAGTACAATTTTAAAATCAAGTTTGGATGTTTTTCTAAAAGATATGTTCTATGAATTATTTTGGGGAAGTTCTGTGGCCTATGTCATACAGTAGGTCAGACTAGATAAGCATAATGGTCCTTTCTGGCCTTGGAATTTATGAATTATTAATGTTGTGGAAGTGAGAAGAGTAACAAGTAGGATAACAAGTTATAACATTGTTAAATTAAAAAAAAAAACCCTCACAAAAAGCTATCTCCAATCTTGCAATATTCCTGCTATCCCTTCTCTCTGGAAATTAGCCTCTATTGTGGGCAAACACTGCCTGGGCCCCACCTCTCTCTAGGTTGGATCCTTCCAGACTCCTCTCTTCCTTTGCCAGGCTGCTAGATGAACTATTGGGCTTCTGTCATCCTTTGATCTAGCCTTCCGGACTCTACACTACTTGGCCCATTGGTGGCTCCAGCTCTCACCTGCTTCTCTGCTCCGCCATTCCCCCTCCCTGTGGCCTCACAGACAGTCATAATCATAGAGTTTAAGGCCATAAGGAACCACCAGTACAGAGGCCATTCGTCCAGTTATAAACCAGACACTTCAGTTCTCCTTTTGGGGTGGTTTGTCCCCCATGCGGTACCGAGATAAAATCAGATGTAGGTTTGTCTGGTATCAGATGGGGCCCTCCATAAAGAGGGGCGCGCTGCCCCACCCCCACCTCACAGACCCCATGGTAGCGGCATGAGCTGTGGTGCCCAAAGGGGTCACGTTGGCAGGGGCAGGCCCACCCCGTTCCTGGAAGAACCAGACCGACCTCCCGCACCAGCACCTGCCCACTCAACCCCACGGCCAATTACACCCAGGCGTCACCGCCCACAGGAGACAGACCCTTGTGCGCCACAGGCCGAGAACAGGCACCGAGGGGCCCCGCCGCCCCGGGCCCCGCCATGGCGGAGAAAGACTGAGACGCGCCCACCGCTGTCCCGGGCAAGTGACTCACACCCACAGGGAGGCGAAACCCCGCCCCAAGGTCCCCGCCAGCCTGGGAACGTCCTTCCCGGCCCCTCCGGGCGGCTCCTGCCGGTTACCCGCCCGGCCTTGTCCCCACTCTCGGTATTTGCGCGGGTCCAGCAGCACAGGCCCCCTGCGCCACCACGGGAGCCGGGGAGGAGCCAGGCCCCGCCCCGCCTCCCAGCGGCAGGACCCAGGGTAGCTGCCCCGCCGCTGCCTGACGAGGACCCGCCCCTTGGCCCCGCCCCCGCCGGCGCAGGGTCTCGCTTGCTCCGTGGCGGTTTTGTTCAGGCGGCGGCCGGGCAGCTCGGGCGGGGCGGAAGCGGAGGCGAAGGGCCCCTCGGCCGGCCGGCGCAGCGGCGGCTGACGTGTGCCTAGGGGCGGCGGCGGCGGTTCCTGGGCCCGGACCGGATCATGTGAGTGACACGGACACACTCCCCCCTCCCCCACCCGCCCGCGGCCTCGCCCTGCCCCGCCGGCTCTAACGCTCTGTCCTCTGCCTCCCCAGGTCGAAAGTCACCTTTAAAATCACGCTGACGTCGGACCCGCGGCTGCCCTACAAAGTGTGAGTGACACCTCCCTCCGCCGCCGCCTCATGCCTTGTGCGCATGCGCTGCCACATCCATCCTCTCCCGCACCCACTGCGCGTCCTCCCAGGGGCACCACTGACTGCACGGGCACTGCCCCCCCCACGCCACACACCCTCTGCCCCCAGCCGCCCCGCCCTGGGCACTGTCCTCTACACCAGTCTCCTCCTGCTACCAACCCCCTATTAATCCCCCAGTTACCCCACCCCCAGGCACTGACCCCTGCATGCCAGCCCCCCTACCCTGCCCATGGGCATTGCTCACCAGCCCTCTGCCACCGACCTCCCTGCTACCAACCCCTATACCTTGTCCATGGGCACCACCCCACACCAGTCCTGCAATTACCCTGACGAGGTACTGCCTGCCCACACCAGCTCCTCCCACACCAAAGGCCACTGCTCCCTCACACGAGCCCCCTTGCCATTGACCCTCCCCGCTCATGGGTATTGCCCCTCACCCCCCCAACTCCTGCTGCCCTGCCCATGGGCGCTATGCCTCCTTTCACCGCCCTGCCCACAGTCACTGATCTGCACCCGCCCACTGATACTGTGTGTAACCCTCCCTGAGCTGTGCCCCAAACCCACCCGTCTTGCCTAAAGACACTGCCCCTGAACCCATGAGTGCTGCTCCCTCCCACAGACTTCTCTGTCCATACAGAGACTGCCTCATGCCCATAGTCACAGAGTTTAAGGATAGAAGAGACAATCAGATCATGTAGTCTGATCTCCTCCTCATAGGTCACCAATACCACACACTAAACCCAACAACTGAAATTAGATCAAAGTATTGCAGCCCACACAGGAGACTAGACTGGTATATGCCACAGGCAGAGAACAGGAGGGACTGAACTGCACTGATGCCAAAGGGCCCTGCAAAGGCAGAAAATTGATTGAGATATACCCAGGTAATCTCGGTAAGTGACCCGTACCCCATGCTGCACAGGAATGTGAAAACTCCCTAGGTTCACTGATCTGTGTTGGTACCACAATATGGTTTTTGAGGTCTTATCATTAAATCAGTGGTACTACTCATGGTGTTGAACACCATCCTCCATAGTAAGCGTTTGCAAGATCAGACTGTTGGTAGGGGAAAGTTGAATATGTAATATCTCACACTCAAAAAGGTATGGAGACTAGATACTGGGAAGTCTTCCACAATTCTTATGTGGTAGACATGTTGACATCACTTCTTCTGGAATGCCTGTAATAATGTATTTAAAAATAAAAACTTCAGTTATTTTTTTGCAATGTACCAGTCTTCTTTCAGTGTTTTAGGCCCTGATCTAGCAGAGCATATAAGTACATGCTTAACTTAAACTGCAGGAACACTCCCATTGATTTCAGTGAAATTATAATCAATAACTTTAGGACCATTGGAATTGGTCTCTAATTTGGTCTAGAAATCATGTTTTCTATTAACTTTTCTTTGTTTCAGGTTAAGTGTGCCTGAAAATACACCTTTCACAGCCGTCTTGAAGTTTGCTGCAGAAGAAGTAAGTTTTGAATTGTGACAATGTTTACATCATTAACCAAAGAGTTAAATTACAAGACTCATGTACATTTTTGTGTGAAATTATAGATGGCTGGGGCAAGAATGAGTCATGTTGGAAGTTTGCTTTTATTGAAAAAGCTAATTGGAATTTCATCAAGGCAGTTACATAGTTATTCTTTTTTAAAGTAATAAAAAATATCTGATCCATACTTATAGCATGGGTGTAAAATATGTGTGTGTATGATTTAAAAATATATAGAGATAGAAAATAGGAAGTAAACATTAAGTTAATGAAAGAGAGAAACCTGGAAAGCAGTAATGCTGAAATTCTGGTAGTGATTGTGGACAACAAAATGTTGGCTTTTTTGCTATAACACATTTAACTTGTTTTGGGCTGCATCTGAGGAAGTGCCGCATCACAGTTCAGTGGGGAAATGGTGTATCTCTACTTGGCTTTGGTGAATCTACACCTGGAATATTATGATATTTTGAACATTTTCTGGTTCAAGGGAAAGTGATACTTTGGAGGGATTTCAGAGAAAGTAAAAATGACGAAGGAGCTGGAGGGATAAAAGAAAGAGCAAGAGAAATGTGTATAAATTGCTAAGTGATGACTAATGCCCCATGTGGGCAGGGGACTGGACTCGATGACCTCTCGAGGTCCCTTCCAGTCCTAGAATCTATGAATCTATGAATAAGGTGGAGGCATAGCTTATAAATATTTGAAGGGTATAAATTACAAGGAGTAGTGAAGAAGAATGGTCCAGAGGTTAGGGAGTCAGGTTGAGATTTGGGAGACTTCCTGTGTGATTTCGAGCAAGTTACTGATGGCTTGCCATTGTAGGAAAGTTTATACCAGTATAAAGTAAGATGTGAATTTAGGCTGTGTCTACACTGCCACTTTCAGTGCTAAAACTTTAGTCATTCAGGGGCGTGAAAAAACACTCCCCTGAGCGACAAAAGTTTTAGGGCTGAAAAGCGCCAGTATGGATAGCGCTTTATCGCCGGGAGTTGCGCTCCCAGCAATAAAGCTACCACCCCTCATTCGGGGTGGTTATTTTTTATTTCTGGGAGAGCTCTCCCCCTTAGACTTTGGGCTGGTCCACACTGGGGCGGGGGATCGATCTAGGAAATGCATCTTCAGCTACGAGAATAGCGTAGCTGAAGTTGACGTTTCCTAGATCGAACTAAGTTTACTTACTGCGGGTCCACGCGGCGCAGGCAAGCTCCCCCGTCGACAGCGCTTCCTCCTCTCAGCGAGCAGGAGTTCCGCAGTCGACGGGGGAGCGCTTCTGGGATCGATTTATCGCGTCCAGATGAGACGCGATAAATCGATCCCAGAAGATCGATCTCTACCCGCCGAATCGGGCGGGTAGTGTGGACCTACCCTAATATACCCTTAGGGCTTGTCTACACTTACCGGAGGGTCCGGCGGCAGGCAATCGGTTTTCTGGGATCGACTTATCGCGTCTAGTGAAGACGCAATAAAATCGATCCCTGATCGCTCTGCCGTCGACTCCGGAAATCCACCGCGGCAAGAGGCGGCAGCGGAGTCGGCGACAGCGCGGCAGCGGTCGACTTTCCCCCGTCCTCACCGCCAGGTAAGCCGACCTAAAATACGCAACTTCAGCTACGGTATTCACGTAGCTGAAGTTGCGTATCTTAGGTCGGACCCCCGCTGTAGTGTAGACCTAGCCTCAGACTAATATAGTTGTACCAGTATAACTCCCTGTGTGGACACTCTTATTTCTGAATAAGAGTGTCCACACAAGAAGTTGTACCGGTGTAATTGTATCAGTTTAACTATACTGGTATATATAACTGGTAAAACATTCCTGTGTAGTCAAACCCTTATTCTCTCTCTGTTAAATGGCTAAAAATAACAGTATGGCTGCAGTGGCTCAGGCTAGCTGCTCAAGTACAATCCCACTTTACTCCTTGGAAAATGTACTAGAAGAAATAATAGTGTATTGGCAGAGGGAATGGACTTGATGACATAGGACTTTCCATATTAGAAAGGGTTTGCCAGTATAGCTGTTCAGGCAGATCCTCTTACTGGAGAAGCAGTTTGCACCAGCAAAGAGTGCTTTTGCCAGTATAGCTTATACCAATTCCCCAAACAAAATAAGCTATACTGGCAAAACGACTTTTTTGATGGTATAACTGCATCCAAAAAGTGTAGACCAGACTTTTATAGGTCTTTTCCATTTCTAAGGCTTTCATGTACCTAGCAGCCCATGCTTTAAAAACAGCCATGTTAGGAAAGGATTAGTTATTAAAACGGTCCCATTAAACAAGATACAGTTTCAACTAGTGTGTATTTATGTACTTTGGATCATGCCTTTTGAAATCAATGGGAGTCTTTCTGTTGACATCAGTGGGCTTTGAATCATCCCCTTTGTGTAGGTTTACAACCTAAAGGGATAATTATAGCTGTTTTCAGGAGGCTTAGTGGGAAAATGAAGAACAATTGTTGTAGTGGGCTCTTGTACCCCACATATCATTAGTGTTCAGTTATATAAATCCACTTAGCGCGCACACACACAAACATTTTATTTTTAAAAGATAGGTTATGATATTTTTATAGGTTTTTTTTGGAGGCCACCTATAATACAATATGACAATATTTAGCTCTTTCACACGCTGGTACAAGGATCTATTATGGGGAGGAGGAAATAGTGAAATGATCACTTTTCAAAATACTGCATTGTCTTTGGTTGTTGTTATTTATAATATTTATTTGTACTACAGTAGGGCCAACGAGCTCTAGTCATGAACACAAGACCCCAGTGTGCTAAGTGCTATACAAACATAGAATAAAAAGACTTTGCTTCCTTGCTTATTAGCTACATTCTTTGGGGAAGGGGAGAGGTGTAATTTAATTTTTAATTCAGACCACAGGTACTGCATGTATTTGGCATTGAAAAGAACAAGACCTGGTTTCTGGCTTTATAAATGGACTATACTCCTTGAACCACTTAGTTTAATGTTAATT